ATTACGTAAGCTAGTTGTGATATTAACAACTGTAACGTAAGATAATCATAATATTAACAACTATAACGTAATCTATTAATAATATTAACAACTGTCACGTAAGCTAGTTGTGATGTTAACAACTGTAACGTAAGCTAGTTGTGATGTTAACAACTATAAAATACTCATGATATTAACAACTATAACGTAAGACGGTCAAAGTATTAACAGTTCTAACAACTACCCTCTTCAGGTACGTATGAAGCTGAATGTGCTTCCATTGGTATTTATTATTTTGTTAGCATGAATTAATTCTCTTCCAATACGTTACTTCTTTATTGAAAATCTTAAAAGTATAGAAAATTTTCGGGTTTGCTATTCGTATAGTTTCCCTTATTAGTTCTTCAATTTTAGTTTTTGTCTATCACTTTTTCACCAGATATCTATTTTCTCTCTCTTAAAATACATGGATCAGGCAACAGATAGCAATAAATAAAGTTGAATATTCTGTAAAAGGCGAAATGTAAACCCTACAAGCCTCGAGAAGGTTCAATAGTAAGACTTGGAAAGTAAGATTGGTAACCTAAAGAGAGATGTTGATAGAATGTTCTAGTCTCGGTCTTAATGAACACAATCTCGTTTGGAGGTCTGCCCTGATAGAATAAATATCTAACCTCGACTCAAAAGTCAAAGTAAACATTAAGGAATTAGATCAGCAGCTGTTGACTTGAGGAAGAACTAATAGAATTTAGAAGAAATAACTATAACACGAACGTTAGGGGAAATCTGGATGTCTTGATAGCTGTAAGCACAGAGTAAAAGTAGCAGAAGAAAAAACAGCTGAAAGTTAACAACTAAGGAGTTTAGGTATTCGTTTCAGTTAGTAAATGTTGGATTTAAATAGTTTGTTTGTTAGTTACTAAGCGCAAAGCTGCAGAATGAGCTGTCTGTGTACTGCCCGCTGAGGGTATCGAAACCTGAATTTTAGCGTCATAAACCCTCAGACGTACCGCTGAGCCACCGGGGTATGTGAACTTCAAACAAAATTGATAACTTCTTAATCAAGAATACTGTAAAGTGCGACCTTCTTTAGACTATACCCAGTATGACATTCAAAATGTCCCACAGTGTCACAGCGGTACGTCTGCGGACTTACAACGCTAGAATCCAGGTTTCGATACCCGTGGTGGGCAGAGCATTGTGTAACTTTGTGCATAATTACAAAAAACAAACAAACAGACATTCAAAATATAATAATAATTTTATTTATTTAATCCATCATCACAAGCAAATATCTGGATACTGTTCTAATGAAAAGACAACGAAATTGTTCAAAGGCAAGACTTGCAATCTTTAGTCAGAAACATTTCATGTTAGATACGATGGAAGTTTGCCTTAGAGTTACGTGACTAAATCCTACTGTTTTAGTTATAGAGTTACGTGACTAAATCCTACTGTTTTAATTATAGAGCTACGTGACTAAATCCTACTGTTTTAATTATAGAGCTACGCGACTAAATCCTACTGTTTTAATTATAGAGCTACGTGACTAAATCCTACTGTTTTAATTATAGAGCTACGTGACTAAATCCTACTGTTTTAATTATATAGTTACGTGGTTTAGTCACGTAGCTCTATAATTAAAACAGTAGGATTTAGTCGCGTAGCTCTATAATTAAAACAGTAGGATTTAGTCACGTAACTCTATAATTAAAACAGTAGGATTTAGTGTACTGTTTCAATTATAGAGTTACGTGACTAAATTATACTGTTTTGATTATAGAGTTACGTGGCTAAATCCTACTGTTTTAATTTTACAGCTACATGACTAAATCCTACTGACTTCGTATAAAAGTCACTGGACATTGTTACTTTTAGAAGGTGTTGTGTTTTAATTCTAGTGATCGTGCAAACTAGATTTATATGTTTGTAAGATATATTCTTTTTTTTTCAGTTTAACTTGTTTATTATGAGGATGATTTTATATTGTTAACTTAATGTATACTTTTAGAGCAAACCTCAGTCTCTTAAAATGGATTGGGTTTACGGCCGACAATGCTGCTAACAGCGAAAGTACCCAACTGACCAATCACTATATTGTAATAACTATAAGTTTCCGTTCCCTTGAGAACTCACGATTTTTTAAAACCGGGCTATAAACTTTCATATATTAATTATCTGGTTAAAATTTTAATTCTACTCTAGGTAGGAAGATATTTGACTAATATTTATTAATAGTTACATGATCAATCTCTGCTATTCTATACTATAGATAAGTGATTAGATCCTATTTTTATTCTGATCAATTTAATTATATTTGATTGATCAAAGTTATTCTTAATAACGTGATTAATACCCACTATGTTTATGAGACAATAAAGTGATTAAATCCTACTTTATTCTGATATAATGTAGGTAGCTTTGTTTGATAAGAATCTATTGTTAGTTACATAATTATTCCACACTTTCATTTTTTTGCTTCAACCGAGAAATAAATACCCGACAACTGGTAACCTTTTATTAAACAGAAACTTCGTTAATGACTAGTTTTACACTACATAATGTTTGAATCTGAATTTGGAGTGGCACAGCGGCATGTCTGCGGACTTACAATGCTAGAAACGGGGTTTCGATACCCGTGGTGGTCAGAGCACCGATAGCCCATTGTGTAGCTTTGTGCTTAACTTCAGAAACAAATAAACAAAGGAACCTTAATTTGATTTCTATGTGACACCTGTTATTACAACTAGGTATATACTTTAATGGTTACGTGACTCAAAGCGGCTCAATAGGCTGTTCGCTCTACAGCAAGAAACGAGCCCCGAACTTTCTTGGGCAATCAGTGGAGTAAAAAATATATATATTTATAAAGTTGCATGATTATGAGAGCAAGATACTCGTCTGCTGTATTATATTATAATGATTTCTATAATCCATTTCTGCTACTGTGTGCGTACATCTTGAACAGATCCTCAGACCTCGCTAAGTTTGAGTAATATTTTTGTATATTTACTATTTCACAATTAGATTGGGCGTGGTCATGAAAGTAGTTAAAGAACTCGTACATTTGGGGCTCATGAAAATAAAGAGCTAATATATTGCCTATTTTAAACAAAATAGTTACTTCCGTAAAATCCATAATACATGTGACAGTGATTAATGACGTCACTCAGTTAAGAAGGTTAAATAGTTATTAATCTAACTTGATAACCTGAACTTGAAAATAGAGATAATGAGCGTGATAATCAAGATCGTAGACATATTCCAGTCAATTTAATTACAAATATCTTTTGTTTTACGATTTCACTTTTACTTTATTTTTTCACGACTTATTTTCTTTCTTCATTAATGATTATTTAAACAATAAAAACACATTTTGCAGCCATATTTCAAATAACTATAGTAGGATCTACCTCTTACTGAAACCCCCCAAATGTTGACTTTTAAACATCCTGTCTTCCTACTGAGGCAAGTTTCATACGAAACCAGGCATAAGTAAATGAATAACTTTAAGTTAGCACTAACCATGTAGTAACTGCTATCATCTTAATTTGCCGTGAATAACTTTAAGTTAGCACTAACCATGTGGTAACTGGTATGATCTTAATTTGCCGTGAATAACTTTAAGTTAGCATTAACCATGTAGTAACTGGTATGATCCCAACTTTGCGCAGAATGTAAATTAAACCATTTTCAGATGAGTTGACTCAAGAATAGTAAATAGTGTTAGTAGATATACGTTAGAATGTATTACATATATATTTCAAACTTATTTATATGTATCTATGTCTTTTTATATATATATATATAGAAAGAGAGATGGACAGAAAATACAAACATCCACTTAATAATGATGTGTATATATATATATATATATATATATGTAAACGTACATTTCACCGTACTTTATAAGTACGATTGCTAATGTAGTGAGTGTGTCGCCGCTGATACATACCGTGACGTCACTGATAAATATTTAGCAGCAAATTGTTTGGTTCACGGCGTATTCTTAAACCAGTCGATAGTGCAATGTCGTCACGGTTTATTTGTCAATGAATATTTGAATAGTGATATTTTAAATGGTTTAGTACTAGAAGAAACAATCAATTTAAGCTCCAGTGTGTTCTATGACTGCGGAAAAAACATTACACATCAGTGTTTATAGGACAATAAAGAATTCCAAAACTATATACTAAGCCAGTACAGAGCTCATCTGCAAAACAAGGGCTTTCGTTATGAAAGAGAACCTTCCGACCCATAAAATCATTGTATCTCCTGATACCGTTAACAGCTACGAAGTTAAGGTTAATGATTTACAAACTAATAGCCGTTCAAAAACTCCTTCGATTACATGTTTTGTGTCTGCATAAACGTTATCTTGAAGCCGAGGAGGCTATCTGGTAAGGATATCAAGATAGATTGTTTAAGATTAACCTCGCGGTCCTTCACTAAAGATTATTACTGTATTGTATAATGATGACCGTCATATTGATGGTGGAGGATCCAAGGACAGACCAAATCTGGGACATCGTTCTTACAAAGTACGATTAACCTCAAATAAATCAATGTTTTGACTCGAGAGCTGATTGCGAGTTATTTCAAACGTATTGATTTCCGATGTTACATTCACTGATCTCGTGAGACTCGGAGAGAGATAAACAGGAGCATAAGTTTTGTACATTACAGAATCTGAGCATCCCTTCTCTCTTGTGTGCTAAGTTACTTTATTATCGTCCCAGTTATCTAACGAGCTTATTTAAAAATAACTGTATACATGCTGTTCTATTTTTGTACAGCTCCTAACTAACCGGCATGTGATAGAAGGAAAGATGCAAAAGTAAACATATTTTAAATTATCCAGTTAATTACCATAAGACAACCATTTATCTCAACTCTATTATTGCGCATGCGTGTGTGGAAAAGGCTGATTAACATTCTCATAATTCGTGGGTTGTAATTGTTGTAACGTTTCTAAAGGAAGGTGATAAAGGAAACGTTTATTCTGTCTCGTTGTTCTTTAGGATCGGGAGGAGTGGCGTTTGAAGGATCTATCCAAACTTCCCTGGTACGGTCAGAATCCTTCCAACAGCTCAGGTTATGTGAAACGTTTTTATTCTTTAGTTATTATTCTCTTGGTTTATTAGAGTTAGCTCTCTACTTGTTTCCTTCACGGTTTCAAATAACTTAACATTTCTTACTAAAAAAAAAAAAAATACTGTATTAAGATGAATCGTTCATACCGTAAACTATCGTAGTATAAAACGAAATAAAAAGACTCACCGTAACGTTACTTTAAACGGTAAATATTGAAAGTGAAAACTTTGTAGTATAAAACGAAGTAAAAAGACTCACCGTAACGTTACTTTAAACGGTAAATATTAAAAGTGAAATTACAATTGTTATTCTAAGTTCAAAATTTAGAAATATCAGTGGTAAAAAAGCAGATAAACAACATCTTCATCCGAAAATAAACACCAATTAGCTTGTGTAATAACATACACCCACCCACCTCTCTCCCACACACACCAAATATATGTGGATTAAATCCTAGCATTTTCCACAGGTTGAGCTGTAAGAAAAAAGATCTTTCTATATTTCACTATCTCGATTGTGGAATAAACCATTTATAGATTGTTTACTTTCTAATTCTTTCTCAGGCTCGAATCGCCAACACGTACTCTGAAAGTTCAAGCACCAGAAGGCGTGGCTATAGAATCACGAGCGGGTGATATTACTGCCGCCTGTCGGAAAGATTTGACACTACAATCTAAAGAAGGAAGGGTAAGTAGATTCCCGACATCATTTATGTGTGAAATAATACTGTTTTTTAAAAACTAAAAACACTTTTCTAACATAAATCTAAAAATTTTAAGCAAATTAATTAACCAAAACAATTAAATTAGAAAATCCTGAGTTACCTGCATTCGTCAAAGTCTCGCGTTAATAAACCAAATAAAGTGAAGTACAAAAATTACAGAAACGGGAAGCTCTAGAGTAACATAACCCCAATTGCAGCGATTTGCAGTAATGACATTCTACCCAAACGTTGAAGAGACTTGTTTGGCCTTTAATAATTAAAATAGAAGAGAAAAAAATTGCAATAATGACATTCTACTGTATCGTTGCAGAGACTAAGCCTTTCACAATTAAAATACAGGAGAAAAAATTGCTGTAACGGTATTCTACTCTAGCGTTGCAAAAGACCTGTTTGGCCTTTAACAAATAAAATACAGGATAAACCGTTGCAATAAAGACATTCTACTGTATCGTTACAAAGACTAGGCCTTTAACAAGTAAAATATAGGAGAAACAATTGCAGTAATGACATTCTACTTTAGCGTTGGAGAGGTTTGTTTGGTATTTAACAAATAAAATACAGGAGAAAAAATGGCAATAATGACATTGTACTGTATCGTTGCAGAGACTAAGCCTTTCACAATTAAAATATACGAGAAAAAATTACAGTAATGACATTCTACTTTAGCGTTGCAGAGATTTGTTTGGCCTTTAACAAATAAAATACATGAGAAAACCTTGCAATAATGACTTTCTACTCTAGCGTTACGGAGACTTGACCTTTAACAAGTAAAATGCAGGAGAAACCGTTGCAGTAATGATATGATACTATAGTTACATAGAATTTGCCTGTAACAAGTAAAATACGGGAGAAACCGTTGCCATGAAACAGTAATACACTTGTATACGTCATAAAATGAATCACAGTAATTTTTATGGAGGAGTAAGGACTATCTTTTTTCATTGTTGTGTCAGATTTTGCTGTAATAATGACGAAGTATTTTATTGTTATTGACATTGTTTCGTTCACTGTAAGCTGTAGTAATCTTTAGGATAATATAATTTTTACAAAACCTTAACTTTATTTCTGCTAAATTTAGTATTATATAAACCACCACGCTGTTGTAAATGGAATTACCCTTGACATTAGGCTTTATAATATATTGTATAGTAAGGGTGGGAAATTCTGAAGGCTTTCTAGATCAAGACATCACTTGGGGATGTTCAAGTTTTGTTGAACTAATTGAAACCTTGCGTTATGTATGGAAAAAAGAACATACTCTGAAGATACTATAAACTAAGGTTAACTTAGAGAATACCCAAGTATTTGTAAAATATACTTAAAGCCATAACAATGTTATCTGAACATTATTTAAACATAAATATATCTTTTGAACAAAATTGCCGATAAAAGTCAGAATCCGTCATGTTAAGCAGAAATCTTATTAAAAGCTAATATATATATATATATATAACACAAAACGTTATATTTAACCAGAATTACTAATCAAAGTTAGAATATAAAACAAAAACCGCCATATTTAGTAAGAGTTACTGATCAAAGTTAGAATATGTATATAACACAAAACGTTATATTTAACCAGAATTACTAATCAAAGTTAGAATATATAACAAAAACCGCCATATTTAGTAAGAGTTACTGATCAAAGTTAGAATATATAACAAAAACCGCCATATTTAGTAAGAGTTACTGATCAAAGTTAGAATATAAAACAAAAACAGCCAGTTGTAACCAGAATTACTACGATATATAACAAAAACTCAATATTTAACCAGATTTTCTGACCAGATTCTGTTTATTATAAGTTATGAATTTAAAACACACATCAGTATGAACATAATTTCAACGAACTGGTGATTAACAAATGTTTAATCACACATTATTATCAACACGTGATTAATATCATTTCAGATTTGGTTGGATTCGGAGAAGGTTGAGTTAAGAAACATCAAGACAGCTTTGCCAACAACGAGAGGCCGTACGTATGCCGGCATTCATCAACTGTGTGTATGTGAGAATGGGCGCCTGTTTCTCTCGCCACCAGAGGGCCGTTGTCAAGCCGACAGTGAAGTTTGCAAATAGTTTTTTGTTGGGAGGTCGTCAAATTTACAGAATATCTTTGTTAGTTTCGAAAGATTGACGTACGTTTCTTTGTGAGTAGAAAGTGTGGAAGAAGCTGTAGAATGAGAGTGATCCTTGTTGTCGATCAAAAGTTCTTCGACCCCAGAGACTCATTCCCGGGGAGAATTATTAAACCGGTCTTGGAGAGTTTTCCTCACTTGGACCTGTTAGATTTTGTGAATACTGTGGTGGGTTATTTTTCGAGGAATACTGTGACTAGCTGCCATATAGCTCTTGGCTATATAAGTGATTAAGATAAACAGTGAAGCAGTCGTCTAAGAAAACCATAAAGAATATGAAATGCCACACTTTCTTCTCCCTTAGTTTACTAAGACTATTTTTCACAAGTGACCTTTGTGACGAATTATATCCCCCCAAATCGAAAAGTGGAATAAAGTTTCAATTATTGCATTTGTTGTATCTTACGAAGTTAATCATTGTTCTTCAACAGTCTCAGCAGAGCCGTGATGTCTTGTCATCATTTGTGACGTATACTGCACGTGCCTGAAGTTTTGAGGTGGACATTGACTGTCGTTCATCCAAGACCTTCAAGCAAGTGACCGCGTACGAAGATCCAACGAAAGGAATATACTGTAAAACAAGGTTACTATTAGTCGGTCAAAAAGAAAGCTTGAAGCCAGAAGATTATTTCTTGGGATCTTTAATGACGTCAAAAAAGAAAGCTTGAAGCCAGAAGATTATTTCTTGGGATCTTTAATGACGTCAAAAAAGAAAGCTTGAAGCCAAAAGATTATTTCTTGGGATCTTTAATAACGCCAAAAATAAAGCTTGAAGCCAGAAGATTATTTATTGGGATTTTTAAATAACGCCAAAAAAAGAAAGCTTGAAGCCAAAATATTAGTTCTTTGGATCTTTAATGACGTCAAAAAATGTACATGTTTAATATACCCGTATTATAAATATAGATAAAGTTATATTGTGGTTTTAATTGACTTGTGTTTTGGAAATTCTGTTATAGCTAGCTGCTGCTTCAAGGATTATTTAGGCATTTTGGTACAAAATGATAAACACAAGTAGAGAGCGATTGGACACCACATGTTGACACAACTTCTCTGCGCATATTTGTGTATTTACGAATTGAAATATGCTTAACGTAGCAGTAAAACTGTAACTCTTGTTCTGTATATTCGATGCACGTGCATAACGGTCAGGTGCAAGTTGAAACAAGCGTTTAATTATCAACTTCTTCTAACTTCACACAATAAAATAATGGTCGATTACTATCTTGAAAACAGTACGTAAAGCTCTTAGAAGTAGACATATAAAAAATCATATTTTTATTTTAAATTATATTAAATGTTAATAAAACGAATTGCCTCGGTCTTTACCACTTTTAAATAAGTACTTTAAAGCATTTCACTGCTCCAGAAAACCACGCTGTAGACAGAACACTGGTTGCGTGAAGGTGAAGCTCCTACACAGTAAAATGTGGACACAACAAATTAACGTTTGTGATTAGTTTGTTTACCTTTAGCAGGCTTTGAAGGACATAACATTAGAGTGAATCATTACTCTTGTTTTCAAGAACTCGGATGTTGGCTTTTATTGTATGCTGAAATAGATGTTTTTGACGTGACATTTCCGAATCCTAAACACTGACGTCAGTTCCTTGTAGGTAGTTTTTGTACAAGATATTAACACCAGCCTACACACTGAAGTGGGTTTTACTAGTGATATGCAAATCAAACGATGTGACCTGAGATTTCCGAACCCTAAACACTGACGTCAGTTTCTTGTAGGTGGTTTTTGTACAAAATATTAACACCAGCCTACACACTGAAGTGGGTTTTACTAGTGATATGCAAATCAGACGACGTGACATGAGATTTCCGAACCTTAAACACTGACGTCAGTTCCTTGTAGGTAGTTTTTGTACAAGATATATCTACCAACTTACACATTGAAATGGATTATTAACAGGGATTTCTAAATCAAATATTTGTGACATGACGTTTCAAGCTTAGATTTGTTTAAAATCACACAGGAAAATCGTTTTTTTACATTAAATTATTAGAATAATTAGCTATGCTTATAATCACCCAGAAAAACAACTTTCTTACATTTAATAATTAGAATAATTAACTATGCTTATAATCACTCAGAAAAACAAATTTTTACACATAGTTATCATTAAAAATGTTTTCTTATATTGAATTATGGGATTAATTAGCTTTGTTTAATGATAACCCTAAAGAACCACTTGCTTAGATCAAACTATGGGATTTATGTGCTTTGTTTGATAATAATCCCGAAGAACCACTTGCTTGGATCAAACTATGGGATTTATATGCTTTGTTTATAACTACACATCAAAACCAAGTGTTTATATTTAATTTTGTGACAGATTAACTTCGATAATACTCATACAGAAAAACAACTTTCTTACAATGAGTTATAGGATTAATTAGCTTTCTTTATAATCTCACAGAAAAGTCACTTACTTCCCTTGAATAAAGGGATTAATTAGTTTTATATAAACACACAGTAAATCTTATATTGATTTATATTGATTATAGGATTAATGAGGCTTGTTTGCAACCACTCAAGAATATTCCGTTCTTACATTGATTGATTTATGTTATTATAATTTTACTGAAAAACGTTATTTTTAATTTGAATTATGTGAAGAAAATCTTTGTTTATAAACGTTGTTTTTACATTGAATTATGCAATTAATTAGCTTTGTTTGCGATCACAGAGAAAATCCACTTTCTCATACTGAATTATGGGATTAATTAGCTTGGTTTATTATCACACAGAAAAGTTACTTTCTTACTTATACTTATGGTATTAATTACGTTTGTTTATAAACACACAGAAAAACCAGTTTGTAAAGTTTAATTATAGGATTAATTAACTTTCTTTATAATTATCCACACAAATAACTCTCTTACATTGAATTATGATATTAATTAGCTTTGTTTGCAATCACAGAGAAAATCCACTTTCTTATATTGAATTATGGGATTAATTAAGTTTGTTTAGAATCACGAAGATAAAACAGTTTTCTTACATTGAATTATGGGATTAATTAAGTTTGTTTAGAATCACGAAGATAAAACAGTTTTCTTACATTGAATTATAGGATTCATTTGGTTTGTTTTT